TTCTTCGATATGGGGTGCCTTAATTAAGTTTAGTAGGATTTCAGAAATATACATCAGTTTTACCCTTTTAAAACAAAGGGTATTCCGTGTCCTTGGCAGTGTACGTGGATAAATGACTTGCTAACTCTTGGTGTCAACCTACGTCCCTCCTTCAGGAAGCTGAGGAAAGAGTGAGGTAGAAAGGATTTTGCTCAGAATTGTAGAAGGAGAATCAGACCTATTGTAGTCAGGAGAGGAAGTGGAGGAGGGTAGGAATTAGAGCAAGATGGTGAAAGTGCAGAGGAGGCTGTACAAGAAGTTATTGCAGAGCCTGAGCAGAGAAAAAGTGACAGCACCGTTATGGGTAAGAAGCAATTTGTAACCCAGGGCTTTAAAGCTTTTTGGGATTACAATGTGTACACTACACACACACACACACACACACACACACACACACACACACACACACACACACACACACACACACACGTAGAATGCATAATGAGCTAAAATTTAGCTTACATTAAAAACTTTTTTTGATTCCTGTCATTAGTAATACATTTGCTAAAAGTACATTAAAGGATGGCTCTGAGGGGAAAACAATAATGCCCTCTGGAAGGTGAGACCTCTCTTAAACGGACTGCAACAGGACTACATCAGTGCTACATCAGTAGCTGAGGAGATGTCCTGTTCTCCACTTTGTGCCAGAGAAACCAAATCCCACAACTTCAGCCTAACATACACAACACTTCGTATCAGTAATAAACTTCAGGTATAGTCATTTCCTCAAAAGTTAGTATTCCCTCCTCTGAGCTTTCCTGTTTTGCTGTCTGGCCCTTCTCTACCTCGTCTCCTGACAGCACTAAGTCTGAGTCCCCTTTCACAATTCTGAGTGAAATCCTTTCTGCGTCACTCATATCACTCTGTCATGTCACACATGATCAGTGGGAGATATGACCTAACAACCTTAGTGATAATCAGGTGTGCAGAACGAAGTTTAAGCTAAAACTTCTTTGTTAAAATCATGTTTTAGTCTTCAGACATGTTACCTTCACCTAACTGTTGATGTCCATGAAATAAAAATACATTTTACCAGAAACCCACACAAAAATGAAAACAATATCATTACATTAAACCATTCTGCAGTCAAGCAAGACCAGATGTCCTTTACATAGGACTAAAAATAAATATTTTTTTATTTTACTGTCACATATTTCTTTCAACCACAATACTTATATTATATAAAAAAAAATAAATATCAAAAACTTTGATATTTTGCTTTTTTTTTGGGTCTCAGAGGCTCAATGAAAGAAGAGCTATAACATCAATTTACAGTACATCACTACTACTAATGCTACTTTTACTGTTTGGTTCTTATTTTAATGTCTGCTTTGAGTGTTTGCATTCAGAATTATACTTATTATTTATTATTTATAATTATAAACATCCAATTCTAGCTCAGTCATAATCCTCATGGATTATTTCAATTTTAAGCTAAATGCAAAACTGTGCTCATCTTTGCCTTTGCTGTCTGTCTGCAGGTATAATGACTGGCTCCTTCTACTCTGTCTCAACACTTCTCAACCAGATGATCATGGCCTGTTATGAGGTAAAATCATCCATCCGTCCCAGCTGAGACTGGGCAAGATGACTCTGGAGAAGTTATGAGTATCACGAGGTCATTTTAGAAATGCCAGTTAACATAACATGCATATTTTGGGACTGGGAGTTATCCATAGCACCCGGAGGCAAACCAAAGCAGGAACAGGGAGAGCAAACAGACTCCACACAGAGAGGCCCCACAGAGCATGTGAGGCAGTTAGTGCTAACCGCTGTTACACATTACAGTACAATAATGTAGCAGACATCCATGACTACAAACACTCATCACAATCAAGTTGAGTTGATTGTGAAGAGGTTGTTATTAATAATTAACATAGTAATCGTTATTCTGAGCTCTTAGCTCATGACGATATTCACAGTTTTGTAATTTTGATCAGGTTGATTGGTTCTGGTGTCATTAAACTGGATTGCTCACTAGTTTGATATACTAATAAACATATTAATAAATCTTGTGCAGACATTTTGATGTTTGCACAAGATCAAGCCCAATAACTCTGGAAACCCACTGGTTTGAAATTTCCATCTTACTTATTCTGATACTTTTGATGTTAAGAAGCTCTTTCGTTTGGTAAAAGCGCTGGAAACTTGCAATCAACATGCTTACTTACTTATTGGTAAGATAACTCCGTTTTCTTATATAGCAAGATGTTAAGTAATACCACACAACCTACTAACTTTATTCATGTTTATCTGGCTTTTTTACTTAGGCTAATAACTGTGATGCATCTGTTTTTGTTTTGATGTTTTTGAGACTTCAAGAAACAAGTAAAAGCCACCTAGAGACCAAAGTTGGCGAGTCATGAATGTGAGACATAAAAATAACCCAAACAATAACTGGTGACAGTCAACAAAGCTAAACATCTCTCCTCCTTGTATACAAGCGTCTAATATATATACTGATTTCCAACCTCTACAACACAGAACTCAATAGACTCTTTAAGCATAAAAAAACACTTAAATTACACATAAAACCATCTGATATTGCACTTTAATATCAGCAGCTGCAGTTCTGTGTGTACTGTATTTTGAGCCAAAGGGCAAAGTGAAGCCTTCAGTTCACTGTTTCTCTTTAATTTGACCTTCATGTTCTTAAAGGTTATGATGAAAAGAGCGTGAGTGTGGACGCAATGTGGGTAAAATACTGTCATCATAGTGGAAAATTGTTACTCTGTCAGCACATATGTGCACCAGCTGCTCCACTTCGACCACTGTAAACCATGTTTGTGTCATTTATGTTACTCTGGTGAATGTAAAATGCAGATAAAACAGGTGTTAGAAAACTGCAGAGTGGATGGAGAGGCTGAGAGGGAGAAATATACAGAGAGGTTATTGAGAAAGCAAAGAACAGAGCAACTTGTGACGGCTGCGATGAGACACGAGGTTATTGTCTGTCTCTGAGTTCATTAGCTGCTTTCATGCATGCCTGCATCCCACCATAACACACACACACACACACACACACACACACAAAGCTAAATCAACAGAGAGCGGGCTGATTCAGTCACTTTGAAAGACTCATGTCTTTTTTTCTCTGTCGCCATCAGACACTGTACACACACTGAGTGATGGAAAAGCTGATGCTCATTCAGCTGCTGCTTGTCTCAGCAATACACACACACACACACACACACACACACACACACACACACACACACACACACACACACACACACACA